GTGAGGTAGGGGATGATGATGTGAGGTACATAAACTGAATTTAAAAATCCCGCCCCCCCCCAATCAACACTTTTTTGGGGGGGTCTGTTTCTTTTGAATTAGCTGATTTTCAGTCCAGGCTATTTGTGATCAAAATGCAAATCAATATAGAAAATAACCATGCCAGGGCCACACCTCAGAGTTTTATCTAATTGGTTTGAAGTTGTGTATGGGAAGGGTAGATGGACCAGAATTCATGGCTATCCTGAGAGATCCAGGGCCTCCCTGGGGCCCTTGCTGGTGTCTATCTGAGTATTAAGGACTCTGAATAGTATAGAAACTGTGCCATGAATTTCCATGTTCATTGTCTCCCCTCAAGGCTTGGCCTGCTTCTATATTTCCTGTGATTTTCCCAGGTCCTCATTTTGAGGAGCTTAATAGGGATGAGGGGAACAAGTAGCTTCTCCATGCTGCTGGGGAGCCCTTTGGAATATTAAAGGTACATGTATATCCCACTGTAAAATACATGTACCTTTCAATATTTATTCTGATAGAAAAATGAGTCTTTAATGTTGTTTTTCATTTTGAATTGTTCATATTTATGATTTAAGGACTATACAAATGTTAGCATTTGGGATATTATGTATTAATTTCATAACCTATTGTTTTCCAAGTGAATCTATCTAAAATATTTATAATCCCTAGTGAAGTTTAACATACAAAAAAATATGTTCATAAATATGTATCTCAATATATTATTATAAATTGAGCTCTCCAATGTATCCAGTACCCAAAACAAGAGCAAAATAAATACCAACAGCCTAAAAGCTACCCCCAGCCTCCCTTCCAGTTAATACCACCAGATAAGAATAAACGCTTCTCATTTTTTTCATGATAAGTAGATTATTTAGCTTATATGAAATAGATAATTTTATGTGTAATAGTGATAACTAAAAAAAATTAAAGTGCTTAGAGAAATAAGAGTTCAAAAGATGTTCCATCCGGTTTGTCTTTCCCTCCTTTTTTTTCAAAATATATTTTTATTTATTTAATTTATTTTCTAAAGTCATTTTATTAGGGGCTCATACAAACTCTTATCACAATCCATACATACATCAATTGTGTAAAGCACATTTGTACATTCATTGCCCTCATCATTCTCAAAACATTTGCTCTCCACTTAAGCTCCTGGCATCGGCTCCTCATTTTTTCCCCTCCCTCCCCGCCCCACCTTCCTCATGAACCCTTGATATTATTTTGTCATATTATTATTTTGTCATATCTTGCCCTGTCCGACATCTCCCTTTACCCACTTTTCTGGTGTCCCTCCCCCAGGGAGGAGGTTATATGTAGATCCTTATAATCGGTTACCCCTCCGTTTTTTTTCTATGTGGCATTACTTTGGGCTGGCTCTTGTCGATTTATGCATTCAATATTCTTTGTTTAAAAGTTGTATTTTTTCCTGAGGAAAGCACTACTTTTTTTTTTTCTTTTTTCGGAAAGCACTACTTTTGTGCTCCCAAAATTCTCTCCTTGGTATTCATTTCATTTTGTTATTTCATTACTTCTCCCAATGGGAAGAGTTTGCCTTCAAATCAGAATCTTTACAAACAGTACTCATATGAGCGACTTTTTCAAATTTGAAAGCACCAACAGGGTTGGCCTACAGGCCACCACATCACTTATTATTGTATTAGTCTGCCCCTTGATTATACACTCAGCTCAGGAACCGTAGTTATTGAATACCAGTTTGGTACAGAACATCTACCAGGTGCATTAGAAGGCATTTAAAGGAGTACAAGATAGCATCTTCTGCGCTAAGAATGTAACAGTGTCATGAGCTGGTAAAGCTATATGTTCAGGAGCTAGACTGCTTGAATTCATATTCCAAGTCCACCACTTCATACTACTTGAATTTGGGCAAAATACTTTACTTTTTGGGACCCTATTTTCCTCATATTGTAAGAAGAGACCAATAAGAATACTTATGTGAAAATAAAAATAATTTATCATTTATCAAGGGGTAACTGGGGTGGAAGTGGGGAGGGAGGGAAAAAAAGAGGAGCTGATACCAAGGGCTCAAATAGAAAGTAAATGTTTAGAAAATAATGATGGCAACATATGTACAAATATGCTTAATACAGCTGATGTATGGATTGTTATAAGAGCTGTAAGGTCCCCCAATAAAGTGATTTAAAAAAATACTTTTGTCATGAACTTGGATATATTAAGTGGGCCATGGCTTTTTTTCGAGGACAACAGATGTAGCTACTTTTTCTGTATCGCTGTGTTAGGCTGAGTTTTCAAGAGAAGCAAAACTAGTGATACTAAAGAAATTTGTATCGAGAAAGCCCAGCCCAGGCCAACCCAGGTCCATGAAGCAGATGCTAGCCGGAGGTCCTCAGAAGGGCGAGCGGGAAGCTGGGCGATCCCAGGCTGGTTGGTGCAGACTTGCATGCATTCAAGGTTGGCAGGAATATGGCAGGGTGCTGACAGCCCCAAGAGTCAGCAGGCCACTTGGGTCCCAAACATGAGACATAGGACATGAGACAGCAAGACTGCTATGTCTCTTCAGTGCCTCTCATAAAAAGACCACACCTCCAAGGAGGCATCACCAGGCTGCAACATGATTGATAGGCTGGACTTCACCCATATCTTCTTACAGGTGCCAAGTTGGCCCCCAAACCTGTCACCTCCACCTGCAGAATGCCAGCAAGCCAGATAGACAGCCATCTCTCATTCCCTCCTCATTCTGTCCCCTTCCACCTAAACCGATATGTTTTCTGCTGTGGTAATTTGCTAGATCCATCCGTCACAGCCTTAATCTTTTTAGAAAAAGACTGTGTAGCCATGTCCCTAGTGAAAATTCTCAGACACGTGTCCATATTTAATACAACAGCGGTTTCTAAATCTTTAAGTTGTTTCCTTTTCTCACCGTTCGTTTTCAAGTCCATCTCTTTCCTCTGCATCTTAATATAAGCAGTAAGTATAAATCCTGTAGCCTGTTTAAGTTCTTGCTTAGAAATCTCTTCAGCCAAGATCCAGGTTCATCATTTACAAGTTCTGTCTTCCAAAAACACTGGAACATAATTCAGACAAGTTCTTTTTCTCTGCTTACAAAGCATTGTTCTTCCTCCATTGTCCAATAGCCTATTTATCATTTTCTTTTTGAGCCTTACTAGCAGAAGAGAGCATCTAAGCCCACATTTCCAGCAGCAATTTATTGCTGGCACCACATGTAGTCTCTCAGATAAGAGGTTTTCTCTGTAATAGCTCTCCTCACTTCCTTCTGCGCTGTCACCAGAAATGCCTTTGATGCCTGTAATTCTACCAACAATCTCATTAAGACAATCTGGGCTTTTACTATTGGTCACCTTCAAACTCATCCAGCTTATCTCTACTCATTACCCAATTCTACAAGTTAGGTTCTACTCTTCTAGTACCAAATTCTGTCATAGATGTAGTGGTCTAGTGTTGCTATTGCAGAAACACCACAAATTGGTGACTTTAACAAATGTATTTTCTCAGAGTTTAGGAAGCTACAATTGGAGTCCGGGGTGCCCACTTTTTCTTTCTCTCAGCTCTTAGGAAGATCCTTGTCTTTTCTGGACAGTTTTCATATGGGTTGATACCTTTCTTCCCCTATTTCTACATCCTTTGCTTGCTTATTTAAACTTGTTTATATCTCAGAGGAGATTAACTCAAAACATTGCCTATATTAATCCTACTTCACTAGCATAACAAAGACTATTCATTACCAGATGAGATTATGTTCATGGGTAGAAGTTAGGATTTAAGCACATACTTTGCAGGCGGGGCATAGTTCAGTTTCTAGCAACCCATATCACAATGGATGATGCAAACTTTTTGGGTTAAGCTGGGAATCTAATTACCATTTAGTATGGTTTCATTGAGATGATAGGAGAAGGAGTTAGGGTAAAGTATTGGCTGGAACTGAACACTCCTTTTAACATTTGACTAGTACAAAAATGAGTAGGTAAATGTGTGGAGGCAAGGGTAAGTATGATGTTTAAAGAATATAAGAAAGTTGTAGAAGACCAAGTTGACCAAGCTATTAAATGGCTGAAAAATATGAATGGTTTTCCTTAGGGAGAAATACATTTCTTTTTTAAATGACTCCAGAAATGTAACCTAGAATTAACCTTTATTTTCAATGTGAACGAATTTTAGGACATTTCATGCTTTAAAAAAATTATTTAGAATTCTCATTAATTTTTGTAAAGCTTGAGGTTTCAAATTTGAGGAACCTCCCACTCTGGAAATCATTTTAGAAGATGGCAGAATTTCCAGCAATATATGACATCATGGTGTAGCATTATTAAACATTGTATCAATACATTCTGTGAGACTTGTGTTTGGGAGGTAAAAAAATCTTCAAAGCACTATATTTTTCAGCATGACATGGAAGGACCAAGTATTTCAGCACTTTCTACTTTTGAAGTTCACTTTCTAGATGAAAAGGATAATTTTTTTCATATTTGTTATATGATATGGAAAGTAAATGAGGATAATAAGAGAAACTTTACTGAAAACTTTACTTAAACGCGTTCTGTGCAGCAGGAGCTAGCTACATGTAAACATTTGTACATTTTTCAGGGGTGACGCTTGTGAAGTGTGTGTGATAAGAAATCCAAAATGATCGCTACACAATGTATGTTTTAGTTATAAATAACTAAAATTTTATAAATTACTGAATATTAATATAATGTATAAATGTAGAAATATAATTCAGGAAATAATTTTTAAAAGAACTCTATACGTACTTGTATCTGCTATATATTTAAGTGGGCTCCACTGTCTCAGTGGCTACCACATCTGTAAGATGTTATTTAACTTGTACTTTATAATGGTTTTTAAGATGAATGTCTGCAGTCAAATAGACCAATATCTTCAGATTAATATATTCTGAGAATACTTAGAAAAGGTTTGTGTGAATATTTTTCCCTAAATTCACCATTTTGATACATATACCCATGGTTTTCTTCTATGTTTGCATGCAGCCAGGAGCTATGGGCGAAGACGAGGTAAATTTTTTTTTAATGAGATCTTTTGCTTGCCAAATTGTAAGTATGAGTGCGTGAGTGTTTACATGCTTCTGTGTATAGAACTTTATTACTGTATGATGGCGACATTCCAGCTTAGTTATTTTAGAGAAATAATTCTCTTACAGGTTTTTTTTTTTTAGTTGATACAGGACACTTGTTTGCTGAAATTTTATTACTGTTTACATGTTTTCTTTTTGTGAAACAAGTCCTCTATGTTGATAACCAGAAAATCCAAGTGCTTACAGGTGTATCTAGTACTCACTTGTCAAACGCACAGATGATCATTTTTGAAGGGGAAAATACAGCAAAGGGATATGTGCAATTATAGAAGTTCTTATTTTACATGTAGCATGGAAGACCCACTTTATTTATTATTTTGTGCAGATTTAAAAAGACATTCAAAGGAAGACAAAGGTTCTAACTGGTTGATAAGCTGTTCTGGTGGTTGAGGCCCTTCATTTTCTTATCAGTTTCGTTATGTCTTTGTTACTAGTTGGTAGTCGATTCTTTTACTTCTAATAAAGACATGGTGAAGACTATTACTTGAAAAAATTTTGTTATATGGCTATTATGAGTGAATTTGAGGAAATAAAGTTTAAGCATGTGTATTTTTCTGCCCTGTATCTACTGTGTTCTTTTCATATTACTTAAAAGTTAAACAGGAAAGTTTTGGAGAGGGTTTGATCTTACTTTGGCTGGGAATATTTTTGTTTTGTTATATCCAGAAGTAAATTTTCCTTGAAGCCGAAAGAGTGTATGTTTTGGGACCCTCATTTACAGGAGTCCTTTTATCTAGTTTTTCTGTTCTTTCTTCTAAAAGAGGAATCCCCCAATTTTTAGGCTTTAGGCTCGAAGCTTGATTCTATCCTGGTCACATGCAAGCATGTTAATGAAATGTTCTTTAGGTAATGCTTGCAACCTTTCTAAAGTATTTTCATACATGTAATTTATTCTAATATTATTATGAAATAGGTAGAGTAAACCTATTATGCTGTAGAAAGGTGGAGGCAGAGGGTCAAACAACTAGGTTAGAAAGACCGAGATGTAGGGTCAAACAACTAGATTATTGCTTGCTTGATATCCTCACCTATAAAATGAGATAATCAAAACAATCTTTTCCAACCTCAGGATCCCTGGTGGCATAATAGTTATGAGTTGGGCTGCTAACTGCAAGGTCAGCAGTTTGAAACCACGAGCTGCATTGTGGGAAAAAGATGAGGCTTTCTCCTACCATGAAGAGTTATTTAGGGTCTCAGAAACACATAAGGGCACTTCTAACTACCCAGTCCGATAGGGTCCCTATGAGTTGGATGACGGTAAATATGGGGATTTTTTTAGCATGTCCAACTTCAGATTTGTTCGTAGTAACTTTCTAGTTTAAAAGGGTGAAGTGGAGTGGAACCCTATCTATGTAAACTAAAAACATTAGATGTAAGTTGTATTTTCAGAAGCTGATGTAATTTACTTGTTTGACCTGATGTTAAATTAATATTCAAGACCAGATTCTCCATCATTTGGTTGCTTATTTGATGTTTGCCATTCATCAGGCTGTCTCTGTTTTTGCAATTGAGTCCTGAAGAGAAGCTAATGATACTAAGTACATAATGTTTTATTATTCATTCCACAATAAATATTTGGTGAATGAATCATTATCAGCAGAACATAATGTGTTTGAGTTGCCGGTCAGCTTTGCAAACACCAAGATGAGGAAAAACATTTATGTAGCTAATTATTTTTAAAATATGGAAATAAATATAACTTAAAATATTTTACTTTTTTAAGTTGAAAACAATTGAAATATAGAAAATACTATTGCTAGAAATCACTTCGAATTACTTTTTTCTCTCTGTTACTAGGAAACATGACTGTCAGGAAGGAATAGGAAATTGACTTTTTACAGTAGGAATCAACACAACCTGAAGGGTGGACATCAGGAGCTGGCTCTTCCCTTTTGCCACACGCATCAATCACTACATCTTGTCAATATCCCACCTCTAGTTTCACAAGCTGCTTTGCTGCCTTCTCTTTTTTGCTACTACTTTTTGGAATACTACTTTGTCTGTGTTACCTTTCTCTTTTTCCATATTACCTTCTCTATACTTACTTGTAAGATTTGATTTTATTATTTTCCAAAGCCTGAATTTAGCAGTGCCAAGTGCTAAGCTAATTGCTGCCTAGGATATTTGAGCCCTGCACTTTGATGTTGCAGATAAGGAGGAGATGACTCAATGTATGTGAGTGTGTGTGTGTACGAGAGACAGCTAAATGACTGAATATTACATTTCTGTAATGAGAGATAGACAGAACATTGTTGTTCCATACTTTTATTTCGTCTTCTGTTTCCAAAACTGGAAAAATAAAACAAGTCATCTTCCTTAAATACAGGGATATATAACCATGTTGGAATAGAGTATCCCCATTCTCATTCCCTGAGCTATATCAGCTGGGCCAACCCTGCACAGCATAAATTTGATGGACTGGCAGCTTTCCACAGGATTGATTTTTCATGTAATCAGGCATTAAATTAATGCTTAATCCCTTTCCTCTAAAAAAAACATTTAGATTTAAAAAAAAGAAAAACAAAACAAAAACATTTAGATTGTCCAAAAAAAGATGAAAAGTGAGCTTGCAGACATACTTTACTTCACTCTACCTTTGATTAAGAAAGAAGCCCTCGTGCTGTGGTGGTTAAATGCTTAATTGCTACCCAAAATGTTGGTGGGTTTGAATCCCCAGCTCCTCTGCAGGAGAAATTTCAGTCAGTCTGCTTCTTTAAAAATGTGCAGTCTTGGAAACCCTGTGGAACAGTTCTACTCTGTCTTCTAGGGCCATGGGGGGTGGAATTGACTTGACAGCAGTGAGGGTAGGATTCTTGAGCTATAGTTCATATGCTTTGCATTACACTTTTACATGTAATGTTTTAGAGTAGAACTCAACAAGCACACTGCCATCAAGTCGATCCTGATTCATAGCAGCCCTCTGAGTTGGAGTGAACTCAATGGCAGTGACTTTGGAGAGTTCAAAGGAATATGTCTGATACTTATCAGCAAGGGCTAAGTCAACGGAGTCTTCCACATCTTCTAATAAACCTAGAAAAAGTTCCAGAAATGGTTAGAATTTCAGAAAGCACAAGTATTTGAATGATAGACAAGGAGTGGAAACCAAGACATTGCAGATGTGAGATTAAAATGAGAAGAAAGTTTTGAAGTGAGATTGGCATGACCAGATGCTCAGAGCATACCCAAGAATAACTTGGGTACTAACTGAAGGCCTGGACAGGAAAAACAAGTATTGAAGGTAGATTCTTTTGGCAAGCCAAGTATACTTGAAACAGTAGTAATGGCCAAGTAGGAAGAGGATTGCATGTGAAAGAATAGGGTGTAAAATAAATAATGGTTATTGTAAAGTAAAGGGGGGCTGTAGTGGTTCGGTGGTGTAATGTTTGCCTTCTATGCAGGAGACTGGAGGAGGCCTGGTGGTGTAGTGGGTTTTATGTTGACGTGCTAACAAAGGCCAAGTTAGCAGTTTGAACCCAACACCTGTTCCTTGGGAGAGAGATGATGCTCTCGGCTCTTATAAAGCGTTGTGGCCTTGGAAACCAAAAAGGCTAGTTCTGCTTTGTCCTATAGGGTCACTGTATGTCAACTCAATGGCAGTGGGTTTGGTGTTTGGTTTTAGGCAGGAGACCTAATTACATTCCTGATCAGTGTACTTCATACACAGCCACCACCCATTTGCCAGTGCGGGTGTGTGGTTGTTATGATGCTGACTAGGTTTCACTGGAATTTCTAGACTAAAATGAACTAGGAAGGAGGAGCTGGCAATCTGCTTACCTAAGTGAGCCTGTGAGAACTGTGAATCACACAATCATAGGAATGGCGTAGGACGGATGGACTGGGCACTGTTTCATGCCATTGGGCATGTGTTCACCATGAGTCAGTGGCTGGCTTGGCAGCTAACAACAGCATATATAAATATTTAAATACCTAATTATATTTCCCATTGAAACACATTCTTAGTTTAGAGATGTCCCAGTCGACAAAAATTTTTTCCTCTGGAATAAAAATCACACCAAAGAATTTTAGCATTTTCTATTAGGAGTATTCTAAACCTTTGACAGGTTTTTATATGTGTTCTCTTATACACTTGTAACCCCTGTTAGAAACTAGTTTAAACAAATAGTGTTACACAAGATTGTTTGTGTACACATAGTTAGCAGTATATCTGATTAAAATACAAGGAAATATCAAAAAGTCAGTGAAAAAGTCCATTATCTTTTAATTCATTTTTTCCATGAACTTTTAGAACCCCCTTGTATGCTTTGTGCTTTTCATTGCACATGAGTTTTTATGGTCTCTCGGAAACGTGTATCACAATAGTTACATTGTTCGGTTGCAAATAAAAAATTAGATAGTTTAGGCCTACCAGCTCTTCAGGAGAAAAGACCTGGTGATGGAATCCAACAAGGATTTACACCCTAGGCACAGAGAGGAACTGGAAACACAAGAAATCCAGGACGGATGATCCTTCCAGGACCAGTGGTGAGAGTGGCGATACTGGGAGGATAGAAGGAGGGTGGGGTGAAAATGGGGAACCGATTACAAGGATCTACATATAACCTCCTCCCTGGGGGACGGACAACAGAGAAGTGGGTGAAAGGAGATGTTGGACAGTATAAGATATGACAAAATAATTTATAAATATAAATTATCAAGGGTTCATGAGGAAGCGGGGAGCGGGGAGGGAAGGGGTAAAAATGAGGAGCTGATGCCAGGGGTTTAAGTGGAGAGCAAATGTTTTGAGGATGATGAGGGCAATGAATATACAAATGTGCTTTACACAATTGATGTATGTATGTATGGATTGTGATGAGTTGTATGAGCCCCTAATAAAATGATTAAAAAAAAAAGATTTACAGCATATATATATATTTACAACCTCAACCTAGGAACCCCTGTGGGGCAGCTCTACGCTGTCCT